CTATGTGCAAAGTGTGGAAATAATTGTTCGCATCCTCGTCACTCGTATTATTGCGCGTCTGAGTTAATATACTAATAAGTGTTGTCAAGTAATAAGTGTTGTATTATTTTTTTATTATTTTATATTTAAATAATATTTTATTTAATCTGATTTCTGTAAATATTGTATTCATATTTTTTATAAGTAAATGTAAAACTATAAAGTATTTTATTAAATGAATAAACATTCATAACTTTATTGACCAGTTATTTTACATAGAAGTAAAAATGTCATAGAATACTTTGAACAATTACAAATTTGTAGAATACAATATTTTATACAAATATTTCTTAATGGAAAAATTATTTATAAAAATTAATTATTATAAAATTAAAACTGTCTATTTTTTTTTAATTATTCGGTTAATTCTTTTGAAAGAAAGTACATTATTACAACTTAACTTGAAATTATAACTCATGATACGTTGAAGATGTTTAGATGCATAAAATAAAAACTGTATTAAAAACACACTTTGTACATATTATCCTTTGTTATTTTTAATCTTAGCTTTTTATCTAAATTTTCTTTCATATTTAAGTTAACTGTATATATAATTAACATAATAATAAAATAAATTTTATTATTTAGCCATTTTAGGTAATCAATATTTTTGAAAACATATTTTTTATAAACTTGCTACATGTAATTGAAAAAGAAGTGTTTATAAATTAGTAGTAACAATTTTCTTTGCTTTGAGAAACATCGTGTTCACTGGCGTTCCTCTAAATATTTTCCGAGAAGCAGAAAAAGTGTTTCGCAGAGCCGTGGAGGCGAGCAACGATTCGGAAATCGTCGATCGTGCAACCGAGACCAAGTGAGCTTTTGCTTGTCGCTTGCCATATGGATTTTCTTCGGTGGTCTCCCAGGTACCTCCTTTACTCCACTCCCCGCTTCGATTTTCACGCTCGGCCTGCTTGTCATCGAGCCTCGACCTCTCTGCTCCGTTTTTAGACTCTCATCGCTAGCACCCGCCCCATCACCTCGGTGTATTTTTCTCCACTTTATTCGTCTATTCAAATGTATTTAATCTCGGATTATGGATACATGCGCTGTGAGTTGTTAACAAGTAAGAAACGCGAATATGTCAAAATCTTACTAAAGATGGTCAAAAGTTGTATTATCAAATAATGCGTTATATATCATGTGAAAGGTAAATAGGTAACAAAAATCGTTTTTATTGTAACTGAAAAAGTTATAATGGTTTTAAATTCTTTATTGATATTATAAAAAAAATTCAAAAATGATATTGTAACAATCACAGTTTCAATAAAAATTTTCTTCAATTTTTATGTACTATTAAAATTTCTAAAAGTTTTGTAATATTTCATTTTCAATTTATAGACCCATGAACAAGTTTTCAAAGCCTAACTATTGAAATAGGTATCTAAAAAGATATAACGATCTGAATTTACATAAACATGGAATTAAAAAAAAAACATAAATTGTTTGAAAATAAAATATTTAAAAATTTATGGTTACGAAGTTATAATTGACATTAAAATTTTATTTTTATAATTTCATATATTTTATATAAAATTTGAGTATGTAGATATACGTATGTACACACATTCTATACATCTTATAGAATATAATAAAATATATTCACAAACAATTTATTATAATATTTTTTATACTAAAAATATATTCCTACGTACAAAAATACAGTAAACAAAAATTAGAATATAATTTGTGTTGAAGTATTTTAACAGATGCTTATTTAATGAATATACTGTTCATAAATAAAAATAGTTGGTTAATTTATATATCTAATAAATCTTTGAAAATCGGTAAATTATTATTATACTACATATAATTATATAATTTATTGTTATAATCATGAAACTTAGTTATATACTTTTCTATTTAAATTTATTAAAAATACGAACATATAAACAAAATTTAGTGAAATTTATATATCTAATAATGTTGTTTACTATTTTTATGGTATATTATGTGCTAAATAATAAATGAAATATATTTACTGAAATACATTTAGTGTATAAGCCTCTTTCGTAAGAGATACAAAATTAATAATTAATAATAGTAAATTAATATATATATATATATATATATATATATATAAATAAAGTTAACAATTATTTTTATGGCTTTAAAAGTAAATTCACTCTTGAAAGCTTTTACTTATAATACAAACAGGGTAATGGTAATATAAAACAAAATGTCACAAATTTTCATTTAACATTTGCATCCCAATATTTCTTGATTTCTTATTATATGCACAAAATAATTCGAACGAATATCTGTAGATTATTTGCATATGTACGGGTATCTCTTATTTAGATAATATATTATATTAATGGAAAATTATTTTCTAAGGAATCTGTACCTTCCATTGTTTTAAATTTAAATTATAAATCAATTATTTCAACGAATGAAAATATAAATATACACAAAAATAAATTCATTATATTTAGTATTCTAATATCGTATAACATTTTAAAAATTAATTGAAGAATATTAAGTAACAGAGTTTAATTTCAATTATTGATTTAATATGTATACACGTATGCACATATGCATACCCGCGCGCACGCACATACATGCATGTAAATATATAATGAACATTTTTTAAATAATTTAATAATAACTATTTTGAAATCATTTAACCTTTTATTCGTTTAATGTCTCGATATTGTGTTGGAATTAATATAATACATAAAGAATTTTAAAAAATGTTATACAGAGAATTGCTTTAGTTAATGTCTGTGGTCAATAAATTATTAATATTTTATTTTTGTTAAGAATTAGCTTTTACATTATCTATCTTATATATAATTATAAATTATTACTTTATATGACTGTTAAATTTCGCTTTTTGACTTTTCTATTCTGAGATGAGCAATATTATTTACGAAAGTGATATAGTACTAAATACGATACTATTTTTCATAAACTTTTTTTGTTAATTTTATATATTTATTAAGGTATTAAATTTTTATTGGGCATATTATAAAATGTACATACAAAAGTCATATCTACAGAACAAATAAAACTTGATGAATTATAACGAAATTATAAACATTTATCTGTTTTTTTTGTATTTCTCTTTAAAAAGTTGCACTGTATTTGTATATATTTTATGACCGAGAAAATGTATCAAATGTAATATACAACAGTAAAGACTATACATACTTAAATTAAAATTTTACAGTAAAAGTAAAAGTAACAACATTAGGAAATTAACTTAAAATGTGGTCCGAATTATCGATTAAATATTGTAATTATTAAATTTTATGAAAGATCAATTTAAATATGAAATTATGAAATTGAATTCGTGGTCATCAATAATTTGATAAAAAAGTAATTACTTGCATCAGAATCAGTTTAATTTTGGCTAAAGAAAATGAGGACTATATGTTTTGAGATTAAATGATTGAATCAATTGAAAAGTGCAATTAAAAATTGAATCAATAAAACCAATAATTTTATTTTGGGTAGTATAATAATAAATTAAACAGAAACCATGTACAAATATGTAGAAGCAGTGATTTAAGTTTACATGGATTTTTAAGATACTCTATTTAATTATATATTAAATTAATAAATATATACGAAAATATTTTTTATTTTGATTTATTACTAATCAATAAAAGTCAAATTTTAAATCAACAAAATTAAAAAGAAATTAAAAAAAATTATGCTAGTGCTCATAAATTATTTATATGAATAGATATTATATATATATATATATATATATACAATACATTGTATATGATATACAATGGTTGAACTTAATTTAAAAATAACTATCATTATATGATGTCTTTTATTTCATCAATAATATTACATGATCAAATATCACTAAATCATGCGACATTGTAATTGTTTAGAATTAAACTAAGTCAACCAAGTTATTGGTGAGAGAAAAGTGTGGATAAGTGGGAGGGGTAGCACTTGAATTCAGTATTTAACACATCTGCTTTGCGTGCTGTTTATTGCATTTTATTTTACAAACTACACTATAACGATTCTAAGTTGATGATGAGAATCATTGGGATCTTGCAGTTCCGTGGTGGTTACCACGTCGCGTTAGCATGCACTACACGTAAAGGTAGGCGGTCGTAAATCTCCGGATCCTCTTGACGTGATGCGCTTGGTGGTGGATGTTTACACGGAGAAGTGTGAAGTCGTAAATCTCTGGACACTCCTTCGTATAGTGCCACGTGGTGGTTATCTGATTGTGGTCTCCTCCTTTAGAAAATGCGTGGTGGCATTGAATGTGAGGTTTTACTTGAGTAGTTGTATGAAACTGTTGCGTGTACTTTCTTTAGCGGTTCTGCTGAGAATGTGTGCGGTGGCACGTCGTATGAGAAGGGCGCGACAGATTCTTCCTAGTATCATTCTTTCTTGGTGTCCCGACTGTTACAGAGCACGTCCACCCTTCGCGGTGTCCCTTGTAAGAGAGTATGTGTCTCGGTTGTCTCCTTTAAGAGTGCTCTTCTGACCACGGCGTTCCCATAGGAAACGCCTCTTTCTTTGGTGCCTCCAATCATCGTGCCTCTATCCTTGGAATCTCTAATCAGAGCGCGTCTGGCTTTGGCGACTCCAATCAGAGCGCCTCTAGCCTTGGCATCTCTACTTAGAGTGCCTCTATCTTTGGCGTCTTATTTAGAGAGAGTGATCTCTTATGGCTTCCCTGCTATGAGAAAGCCCTAGTCGAATCGTTCTTGCTTTAACTATACAAACGATAGTATGGCTGAATTTGACAACAGCGTATGAATTTGTGTACCGTTAAATTTTCATTTTTGGTGTAATGACTATTTCCAGATGTAAACGACTTGAGTTTTCCAGATGTTTAACGACTTCGGTTTTGCCAGATGTTTAATGACTTGGGAAGGGTTCTCGCAATTTCGGACAGTAATATAATAAAAAAGTCTATTCAAATAATTTATCTTTATACTTAATACCTTTAATCAACAATAATATTATTATCTACTGACCTGATATTGAGCTACAACTGAATCAAGATATGTTGGGTAAATACTATCGTGGCAACAGCGTTCCATTATTGGCACAATAGTTAGGTTCTTATGAGCGGTAATAAGTGAACGACTCTTATAGTCCCCAGAACATTTCTATAAAAAAAGTAATAATAAAAATCAGCGTATGTTCTAAATTTTTTATTTCAAATATTGATAATAGATTAAAAAGTAAGTTATATTGTAAATATAAAATTGCAGATATTGATTACTCTCTATGCATATATACTAACTCATAACTTCTTGATAGAAAATATAGAGATTTTCATAGTTTGAAACTACATATAAAATTAATTAAATACTGGATAGATTACTATAATTTTCAAACGAAATGTATATTTAGTTATTAGTTTGACACTTTCTAAACATAATTTCTTAAATTTAATCTCTTACTTTTGTATAGTATTTAATATTCGATTTAAATCACTGTCTTTTTTAATTATTAGTAAATGTTTTCTAATTATAGATTTTTAAATTGATATACTTTTTAAAAAGAATTTCATTAAATTTTGTTTTTATTTTATTCTTGTAATCAACTTTGGGGAAAAAATCTAACCACAAAAAATATATTATTACTTTAAAACTTTACTCACTGTACTGTATTTCAAAAACCAATATATATATATATATATATATATATATATACATACATATAATAATTAATAATATATGATAAAATTATTTGGTATATTGTTAATAATGGTATTCAGTTTTACTTTTGCTTTTATGTAAATAAAACTTCGTGCTAACCATCCATTAATTGCACTTTACCCTTACATGTAAGAATATTGTAAAGAACAATATGCATATAACATTTATATGAGGATAAATTATAATTAATGGACGATTAGCACGAAGTTTTATTTACATAAATTGAAAAGCAAATATATGATATGATTATTAATATTATATGAAAAATTTTCAATTTGACATTTAAAATTTTTATATATGAATGAAAATTATATAAAATAACATATTATTATTTAACTAGTAATTTTTAATTAGTAAGATAAGTTGTATGTAAAGGTTACTTCAAATTTCTAATAATTTATACTGGAATATGTTTGAAAATATTTGTATATTTTTCAAATGAAAGTATTTGTTATTTTATTTATGATTATTATCAATGATAATTAATTATTGTTACAGCTTTCAAGAAAATAACATGAATCAATATTCAGCTTCCATGGCACGGAGTAGAAAGAGTTGTACGACAGACAGAAAGAGGAAGGTACGGTTAGTTCGTTGTTCATAAGTTAGATACCACTTCGTTGGTAGGATCAAATTAAGGATGTCTTATCGAACAGTTACACAGACTGTAGACAAGCCAACGAAGTTACACAAATTAGGTTTATCGCAAACTTACTATCTCGGTGCTAGGTGACCCTTAAGGAAGAGCCGATGGTAATAAGTGGACGTAAAGGTAGGTTACTTAATTAAACTATCTTTAATTTTTAGTTTACATGGGCTTGTTACGTATCCCGCTGTACAAAATATTGAAATTAAATTGTTTTTAATCAAATTTTATTTTGCCACTGTAAATAATTAAAATTATCATTATTAAATCAATAGTTTAGTATTATCTTTTTATTTATCTAATTGGCTTAGAAAAAATATGAAATAAAAATTTATTTTAATACAAGGTAATATTAACATTGCTGAATGTTTAATAATATTCATTAGGCTAATATAGAAATATGAAAAAACTAAGTATTTAAGGAAAAATTTTGACTTCTTATATATTAATCAAGCAATATTTATAAACCACTGGAATCTTATTTTAACATAAATATTACAAAAAACAATACTATCGATTTTTTACTAAACTGCATTATTTTAATTATTTCAAATTATATAATTTTCTTTATGAATAAAGTATTTAGCTGATTTTATGTAATATTACAATATTTTTTATCAATATGAATAAACGTATTTTATTTTATAAAAATTGTTTAGTTTTAAAATTATTCATAGAAAAATAATTTCATTATCTCTAGTGTAGTATATATTAATTTCACTTTGTAAATAAAACATTTTTTCAATTTTTCATAAACTGGAATAAAAATGTTATAATATAATGTCCTGTATATAAATGAAACTTTAAAGTATAATTTATTAAAGAATTGTTAATTCCAAATAATAAATTAAATGTCGAAACCTTAAAAGCAATTGAATATTTTAATTTTGCAATATAAACTGATGAATTGTAGAATATTCCATTATTTTTTATTATTATACTTTAAAACTAAATAGAATACTACACAGATATTAAAAAGTAGTTTCTTCATGTGAAAAATTTAACTTAGTAACTGCAAATGATGTGTCGCCACTGTTTCTGAAATTTTTTTATTTTAATAGAAACTAGAAAAATGCTGCTAAATATGATTTCATGTAATTCATATAAATAAAAATAATAACTTATAAGTGTGATAGCAATATTTAAATGAAAAAGAAAGTCTATTGAAAGGAATAAAAAAACATTATTTGTAAAACAAGTTTAATTTAACACGTTTGTGCACAGCAAGTTTAATCACAGAACTCTAAATATAATTTACTATGACTTTTAACCGTAATATTAACATTCCTATTTAACATCATTACATCCAATGAAGTTTATGTTTTATCATATGAGATAAATATACTTAAATGTCAATATAAATGAAGATAGACAATAATACAGAGCCAAAAACAGAAATGAAGATAATCAGATAGAAAAGAGTATATGATATGTACCATATGTCCAAGTAGAATAAATGCGTGATAGTGTAAAATATCTTACTAAGTATTAATATTCATTATACAAAATGTAAATAAGAAAAATTAATGAATAATTCTTTTCACTAATCTATGGACAATATATAAATAGAATATATGAGAAATATAGAAGTGTAAATAGTATATACGTATGTTTTCGCGCGTATGTTTTCGCGCGTATGTTTTTATTAGTAGTAATTACCAATTTAAATAATTTTTTTCCGTATATATATATATATATATATGTGTGTGTGTGTGTGTGTGTGTGTGTGTGTGCATATGTAGGTAAATAATTCTATATAAATTAATATATATTATAAAAGTTTTTACAAAAATTACATAAATAATAATAGTTTCAGTTTAACAAAATATCAAGAATTTATTTTCTTTAATTTTTTTACAAGAATTTTAAAGTTATTCGTCAAGGCAAAATTTTCTTAAAGAAATTTCGTTGCTATATTACATATATTTACAAATATTTTCTTTAATTGTAATAAAAATAAATTATTTAAAAAATCAGAGTAATAAAAATTTTAATTATTCTTAAAAATTTTAAAATTTTACTGTCAATATATTAATATTAAAAATGGTGATTTTTATAATTGACTTGAAAGAAATTGACAAATAAATTGACTTTAAATATAGAATTTAATGCCTATAAAAATATTGACTATCAACCATTCGAAAGTAAATTTCAAATAGAATGAAAACACTGGTAAAAATACCAAGAACAAAGAGAAGAAAGAAAAGAAATATCAACTCTACTCTTATTAATGGTTGTACAATTGAAATCAACTTATTTTAGAATATATATGTTCATAATATATTTTGCTAAATATAAAAAATTTTATATAATGCTACTTTTAAAAGTAATAATTTGGTTACTAATTTTAAAGGTTTGATAAATAGAGACTATTTTTAAAAAGAAGTAGAAATAATGATTCATAGAATATTAAATAATATTGTATTTTAATAGATAGCAATTACAAATATAACAAACGTAGCAGTAATATCTCGTCACATTTTTATTTTATTATAATCATAAAACAGTTTTATGATTTCTTAATATAATTTTCACAGCATAATTTCGATTAAATCCACAAGTACAATAATTTGATTTATGTTCTTGAATTCTTATTATTTTTATATGAAAAACTGATACACATAAAATATTTTTATAATTATGGAAATCGGAAAATAATATTTATTTTATTTTTTGTGGAAATTATTTTTTGTACAATTTTATTGCTTAATTTTATTATTACAATTTTATTTTTACATAGTGATTACTTCGGGGTTACTTTACACGGTACTTACTACGCACTACTAATCATAAGAAGGAATTAATTTAAATATCTATTATTTGCTAGTACTTATATGCACTGAAGATAATGAATTTCATTAAACGCTTATTTTTCTTCTACCTCATATATTCGTGGTTTCATATAGTGCATCGATCCTGTAGGAGAGGAAAAAGATGGAACTCAAATAAACATGGGAATGAAAGAGAGGGAGAGAGGGAGAGAAAGAGAGAGAGAGAGAGAGAGAGAGAGAGAGAGAGAGAGAGCTGAAGACCAACGTATGGTTTGGTTTTAAAAGATAATGTTGGTATGTGTGAATTTTATTTCAAGAAATAAGTTGAGGTACATTCAGTCCATCAAAGCAAAGTGAAAAAAATAGAAGAAGTTGTTTCTTAGAGAGACCCTATCTGTTTCAACGCAAGATAACCGTTTAATGTAGCGGAATACTTAGTTCAATACTAATTAAACTTTTGGAAGCGATTCTATACATGTTGTACGGGATTAAAACTTAACATTTTATATTTACATTTATCTATAAAAAGTGTTAATCGCATTAATTAAAAATATTCGATTGTGACAATGGCTTGTAATGCTTGCTGATAATTTTATAAACTTTTACTTTTTGTCTTACAAAATATTTGTTATAAATATGTAAAACAGTCTAATCATTTTAAATATAATACAAAGTTAGTTTAGCTTCCTTTTACGGTGATAGTGATATTTATCATAAAATATTTATCATATTTTTCCTTATTATAATTTATCATACATTTGTTATTGTTCAGATAATTATCTAAGCTCCATATATTAATATTAACTCTAACTATAATACATTTAAATAACGTTAAATAATATATTAAACGGTACAAAGTAATTCAATACTTAAATATTAAAATGTTTTCATTTCTTTTATTTATAATATCTGAATTAGAGTCTTATTAAATAATATTAAATAATATCAAAAATATTTATAAAAATATATTAAACTATTAAAAAAATTTGTAATTCAGAAGCAATAAAAATTAAAGATATTGTATATAA